TTTTCAAAAATGTAAAAAATTAAAATCTATTTATTTCTACTGTTTTATTTTAACAGTTTAACGCAGTTTAATCGATTCATTATGAATTTTCCAAACCATGACGGCCATATTGTCACAAACGTCAATTAGTACTCGGAATACGCATTAGAGGTGTTGTTAGCTACGGGCATGATCAGGCTTCGGTTCAATGTCTTTGATACTTTCAAATAGCCACGTTTCGAAAAATGAAATAATTTGAAAAGGGCACGATTTTGTTGCTAATCGTATCTCGTCGACTTTGTCGCGAATAGAATGTGTGTTTTGAATGTACACAAAAATGTATTCAATTTGGTTTGATTTGATTTGATTTGTTTATATTGTACGAGTGTTCATTTTGCTGATGCGATGGTATTATGCCTTTGACAGTGTTTTGTTCGATGCTTCCGGTGATTTTTTCGATGGCGATTCCATTTGTTTCGTTTGTGTGTTGCTTTGTGTATTCAAATCGACTATATCCATTTGATCCGATGCCGTTGATGTGTGGCCGTTTTTCGCGTTGAGTGCCGGGTATAGAAAATCGCCCATGGTGGTGTTCTGAACAAATTCTCTCACAAAAACATCGGATTCCCAGGCCTCCGGTTCAATCAATACGTTGAAAACATTTTCATTTACCTCGATTTTAAATGACACAAATTTCAATTTACTTACATCTTGGCCTTTTTTAACGAGTTTATGCACGCGGAACTTTTCTTTATTTTTAACCGGTGTGTCTTCGACGATGTAATCCATGATTTCCTGTTCCGTTGTCATTGGATCGAATCCAGATATCCAAATTGCCTTTTTAAATATCGGTTTTTCTTCACGTGTCGGTTTATGTACAACATTCAGGCCCATTCGTGGTTTCGGTGCATCAATTTTCGAAAATTTCATTGACGGTGGAAACGATTTCGATATTTCTTCGGTACGCGGACGTTTGGCGGATTTTACCGGTGCATTATCACGAAGAGCATTTGGTCCATGCATAAACGATGTTTTCGGTGTGTTGGTCAACGAAATATTGCTCGAAACAGTTTTCTTTTGCCCTGTGACATTGCGATCAATTGACTTTTTTTAATGCCTCTCTCATTCTAAGAAAATGAAAAATGAAAATTTCATTGTGATAATGCCCAAGAGGCAACGCAATATAAAAATTGTTTGTGTATTTGATTGCAAGCGTCACTGAAAATTTATATCAGATCATTTTCAGATTTGATGTGCAGTATTGCGTCACAGTGAGAACTTCCAAATAGAGGTGCCCACTGAACTGAACCGTTCATGTTCGTTCGGTTCATTCGAATTTGAACCGAATATGAACCGAATATGAACGGCATTTTTACATATTTTGAACAATTTGAACTAAACGCGAATGAACATGAACAGATTTTTTTTATTTCGAACGAACCATGGAAGTTCCAAAGAAGTGTTTTTTACTTATATCAATTGTTTTAACATTAAATTTAATTTTTCTGTTTGAAATCTACAAAAAAATTTTGCCTCGCTACGCTCGCCTTAATTTTATATATTCTTTTATTGTATTCATATATTGATATTCATCACATTGGAAATCAAGAATATTTATATTAATCGATTTCTTGCAATGCACGCCAATTTTGTTTTGCTTTCTGCCACTTTTATCATTTGTTTTTACATTGAATTAGAGTTTTATGTTTGCTCTCGAATTTTTTTTTTGCATTTTTAATTGTTTTTGTAAAATTTCGAAACAAAAGGAGGAATTTGTGGTATGTATGGTTACCAAATCTATTCAAAACTAATTGCACCGATGTTTTAATTCATTTTTTTCAATTGAATAAAGCCCTCAAAACATCATTTCAAGGTGTAGTTTCCTGGTTATTTAAAAAATCTTAAAAAGGTGGTCCGCCAAATACACGCTTTTTCGAATTTTGACCAATTTTGAAGAATGTTGGTTTTAAAAAATGTGCACACTGGTTCAAAATTGAGCGCTCTTTCGATCTATGATTAAAAAAAAACGTAATTCACACATTTTTTTTAACAAAATTACGATTTTCATCGATTTTTCCCCATTTTTTAATAGTATGGTCATAAATGGATTGAACCATCTCCACTGAATTTTTTTCAACATTTCTTCGCTGTATGCTCTAGGGGAGCTCAATATCTTTCCAAAGAGCCAAAAATGACGTATCTTTGTTGAAAAAC